ACATATTATAATTTTCGAGTCGTGGTTCTTGTGGCTAATTGTTTCGCGATTATCATATTCGTAACGCAAAATCGATCCTCGATATAAACTATATAGGATGGCGAGATATTTTCTGCAGCTCGCGGCCGAGCTTTTAAGCGTTAACGGGCGCGACCCTCGAAAGACGACGACTCGAGGACCGCGCGATGCGCGGCTTCTTCGCGGGAGAGTAAACGAATGAGTCGCTTCTCTTTTTCTTTCTTTCTTTCTTTTTTTTTCAAGGGAATTGTTGGCAACGACGTCGTTTTTTTTTCGCCGCGTACACACTTATATAAACGACACACACACACACACACATACGAGCTGAGTCTCGAGTCGAGTTATAAGAGAGAGAAAGAACGACGATCAGACAGAGATCGGAGAGGATCGCGCGAACGAGCGGACCGTGAGAAAGCAGGTCGCTCAGAGAGACTCTCTTGCACACATATACACATACACATAGGGCCCAGAGAGGTTGTCTCCTCTCTTCTCCGAGCTTCTCTTCGCAGCGCTCGGCCTTATACACACATATATATACCGATGCGATATTGCGAATTTCTTGCCGCTGCTGCTGCTGCTGCTGGCGTGTGCTGCGTTCGAGAGCCCAGCCGCGCGTATTTGCCAAAGGTATTATAAGCCCTCCGCTGCTGCTGCCGACGCATTTCGAACGAGGAGGAGGGAAGAGCGATGCGCAACACGCGAGGCAAAAGGATCGTTGCTGCTGCTGCTGCGACGGTGGCGGAGGAGGAGGAGGAGGAGAAACGAAATAAACGCGGCAGGGCTATTAATTCCCGGGGCCTGTGAGGACACCGGTTAACTTCTCTCTCTCTCTCTCTCTCTCTCTCTTATATTCGCGACAAAGGGAAAAGAGAAGCAAAATGACCGACGAGCTCTCGGGTCAGGCCCTAAATAAAAGCTCATGGCTATACGTCCTCGTGAGCCTATATAGTACGAATCGAATAAAAGTAAACTCGTGTCGATGCGCCGACTTCTGGTTAATATATCCTCTCTCACTCTCTTTCTCTCTTTCGACTCCCTTTTTTTTGTTCATCTTTTTTTGCGTTTTTCCTTACTCTTACCTATATACAAACACACGTATGTATATATAGCTGCAGTGATATGCGCATGGGCTTGTGTGTATATCCGTATATAAACGTGAGAGATCAAGATCGCCGTGCAACGCGTCGTCACCGCGTACAGTATATCCCGCGCCGATCGTGTAAGTCGATTTCGCACGCGCGTCACACACACACACACACACACACAGTTTTGCGTGCGCTGCTGCAGCTTCATATACGTATCCGATAATTGAAATTTATAAGCAGCTCTCTTCTGAGTTCGGCTTCTTTGAGCTTTTTAAAAAAAAACGTTATTGTAAAACTCCCGCGCGATCGATCGCACCGATCGTACTGCGGGGGGATACGATATCTTACTTTTAGCTCGCGTATATATGAGATAATTGCACGCGTGTACAGTGTACGCACCCTATCCTTTGTGTGAATGTAATGCGCAATTGCCGATGATGTCTCAATAAAAATAATTCTTGATACAGCTGTCTCTCTCTCGAGTGCGCATTGATACGCGCATTTTTGCGCGTAATAGCGCGCATCGCGCACAGCTGTTGAGTTGCTGATATTATACATTATTATATTATAGTTAAATGTTTCATCGAAAACGACGGTTCCCCTTGTGTGTGTGTGTGTGTGTTTTTTTTAAATCTATATTATTTTCAATTAAAGATCGCAGGTCATTAATCGAAACACAGTGGTATAAAACAATCGGATTGGGCGAGTTTTCCCACGCCCATAAGGCCTCGGCACATACCGCATTCGTTAATTAAATTCGAGTTTTATCGACAAAATTAGGTCAAGATAGTGCGTATATATAGGAAATATGCGGATGTAGATGCAGCATATATATGTATAATACGAGAGATTCCCAACTGCTGCCGCGGTAGTATATACATGCACACATGGATGCAATGCGCAGCGATCGGGACTGCCGATCATCGGACAACATAATCGTTGCGTTTGACAACAGAATGGTAAATAAATGTCGGGCCCGCGTGAACGAGATAAGGTCTCGCAGCACAGCTCGCAGCGCGCGAGAGAAACAAAAAATAAAAAAAAATAAAGGCCAGAGCTCCTTCGCGTTTATAAATATACGTGTGTGTGTGTGTGTGTAGAAGGTAAGAAAGAAAGAAGCGTGGAAGAAAAAGCCGAGGAAAAGGGTATACACGAGTGAGCGAGAGAGAGATGCACGAGAGATGCGAAGTGAGAACGAGAGAGAGAAAAAGTCCGAAATAAAGGAATTTCGGCTGGGAATATAATGCTCTCTCTCTCTCTCTGAGCTTGGCTGCTGCTGCTCGCACGGAAGGCCACGACCATGCACTCTCTCTCTCTATATATATGCACACGCGGCTGATATAATGCGCCCCGGCGCAGGACGGGCGCGGAGGTGTTGTCCGTATATATACAAGAGCGAAGAAAAAAAAAATTGAAAAAAAAGAGAGAGAGAGAAGAAATATAAAAGAGATAGAGGTTAACGATCGTGAGATAGCGGCTGCTACGACCGTAGCGTATAAGCTGCAGCAGCAGCGGTGTCTTCAATGCGCTTTTAGCTGCCTCGACGACGCGATCTGTACCCGTACGTACGGGGGCCAATCGCGGCTATTATTTTCACACACACACACACACACGGGGAAAGAGGGAGAGATATCGCGTGTGGATATAATTCCAATATATATGTGTATCGGAGAAGAAGCGAGAAAGAGAGGGAGGGAGGATGACTCGCGGGAGTAAGAGATTATGACGTTATAAAGCGGCGAAATTTTGACGCCTGCCACCGCCGCTGCGGCGGGAAAGTATAAGGTGGAGGTGGAGGCGCGAAATCAAGTCGTGTGCGCGCGTACGCGAGAGCCACAGCACGTGTCGCACTCGCGCGGCTCATAATGCAGCGTACGTATCATATAATAGTATTATTATTACATTGGTCGTGTCGCGTACTCGGTGCGACGGCGAAACTTTGCCCCGTGCGAAACAGACGAGATCTTTACCAAGGAAAAAGAGTCGCTTTTCATAATTGGAAAACGACGTATACGTTTTGTACCGCGTATCGAGCTCGATCAGCGTCGTACTTGATCGGGAGGGGAGCTTTTCGATCCCTCTCCGGCCGACAGGTGGAGCGATCGCAAACTCGCAAGCGGCAACAACCATTTCCAAACATTATTTATGTATCGAACGTGCTCGAATCTTATTCGCAGATGAGCTCTTTTATTTCTTAATAAATCCGAGTCCTCTTTGGGAGCTGTTTTTTCATTCGAGAATACTCGATTGCCGCTGCTCTGCTCGTATGAGCTTTTCAACCGCACCGACAGGTGGAGCGTCGCTAAACTCGCAACTGGCAAGAACTATTTCCGAATGCGTATATATATATATCGGAGAAGAATCCTCTAATCGCAAAAGTCGTATAGTTTCGATGCGACGTGTGCGAATCAGGACAAAAGAAAGCTTTCCGATGTACAATGCGCGCATACGTCGACGCGTACCGACACACAGTGAAATTTATAAAGAGAGGTCGAGAGAAAAGTCATAGAATATTAGAGCTGTATATTTTAAATTGGAGAACGCAAGCTCGCGGCACGGATACTTTTTCGTTTTACATTCAAATCCGATCGACCGTTGTTGCTGCTTTTTTGCCGCTGCGCCGAGTCACTACGCACAGTATATACGTCGCAATTATATCGTATACGGAAAAGGACTCACGCAGCGCGACAAAACGGGCTCTAATTCGCGTTCGACGTACAATGACAATGAGAAACTCGACAAAGCAGCGGCAGCAGCAGCAGCAGCAGCAGCAGAGAAAAGAAAGGATCGTGTCAATGCGATGACGCCGACGACTATCCGCGCTTATGCATTTTATATTATTATCATGTATATAATAGGTAGCGTAGTATATGTGTAAGCCATTATATACACCTGTCCAAGCGCGAGACAGGCATGTACATGTATATGATTGATCCGAGAGCTGCTACCGGAGTTACGTATACTATACTCGTATTATAAGCGGCGGCGCGTCACAAGCGTTAATCCGATTATAAGATAGTGTATAGTATTATAGGATAATACAAGTGTTGGCCCACCCGGCGCTTAGCTTATTATATACTCGACATTATGCGTAGGTATATCGCGTATAATCCGACATTATAAATGTCTACTATATATAGTGCTTGGTGTAGCAGTATAGCCGATCCCCATTGTGCGCACCGTGTCGACTTTTATTCATATACATCATAAATACGTAACGAGATTAAATGCAAATCTTTTCGAGTTGCGTACAACTCTTTTCTCGAGCGATGTATCCCCCATGTAATTTTCCCATCTTAAAAGTTTCCATTTTTGTGTTTTTATCGGTTATAATGTCGCTCACCGCATTTATAGATTATATAATTATTAAATATAATATTAAAATTCGAGATGACGATCTCGAGTGTCGCCTCGAGCGACGGTCCTACGACTCTATTGTTTTTCTCTATTATGCGTGGAGAGTTTACCCGGGATTTTAATGCTGCTACTCGAAACGGATCAAGAGAAGAGAAAATTTGAAGCAAACGCTGTAAGACGATCTCTATCGTGCGATTGCATAATGAATTAGATCGTCCACCCACTATCTCTGTGACAGATTATAATCGTGGTATCGATATACAAGTGTGGAAAGTTCGGCCACGTCGTGACAGGTGCACGACGCGCACATTCGCTTCGTCGTGGAAATTTCATCGTAAAGAAGGTGTATGAGGGAAATAATCAACGGGAATCCTTCGAATTATAATATTGAATTCAATCCATACTAATGGTACTTCTCAAAAGACAAGCCTATGATAATTCCCACCCCTAATTTTTTAATTAACATATTGTCCAAGCGGCAACATCGAAACAGAATTGAATACATCTGAAGATGTATGTGAAAAAGCATACGATACTCACCCTATCGTACTGGTGGCTGGCCGTGGCGGCGGCCGGCGAGAAGGGCTGAAAGGGCGCCGGCCTCGCGGGACTGCCGTGATGGGCCGCGGCCGCCGCGTGATTACCGGCGTGGGCCACGCTCGGATGAGCGGCCCCGACCACGACATTGCTCGAGGCCGCAGCCGCCGCGTGCGGGTGCGGCGGTGGCGGCGGCGGATGCGGCGGCGGCGGCCTCTGATACAGGTACGGATAGTACTGGTACATCACCTCGGAGCAGCTCATGCTCACCGCCGCCGTCGCGGACGGGCCCTGTGCTGGTAGCGCTGGCGGTGCTGCTGGATAGTGTCGATGACAACGCTGATGCTCGTCTATAACTAGGTCCGACTGATGATAGTGATTGTCTATTATCACGGGACTGTTGCTGTTGCTGTTGCAGTTGCTGCTGCTGTTGTTGTCCCCGCCGATTATCAGGGCGGGGTGGTACGCGGACGACGACGAGGACGACGAGGATACGCTACCGCCACTGCCGCTGTTGTTGTGGTTGTTGTTGTTGTGGCTGTTCGCCTCGAGATAATTGAAGTAGTGGTATTGAAAACCCGGATAATCCGGGTTCTGTCGCGTTATGTCAGCCAGTTGAAGGCCAGTGGGCGACAGCACGGCGCACAGATTGATTTTGACACTTGTTTTTTTTTTTTACTTAGAAATTCGGTAGAAAATTTCTATATAAATGTACCTGTATCACACGTTTTTTTCTTTTCTTTTCTTATAAATCGGACTCAATGTCACGCACACCGGGGCACTACTTGGACACGAAAAAGTGAGTCAACACGTTTTTTTTTTTTTTTATTATCATTCGCACACAAACACACTCGCACTTCATAGACGGAAATTTAATCACGGTATCACCACGGGTAAGATGAAGAAGAGAGAGAGAGAGAGGAGGGCTAGGGTGGGGTGAGAAAAGTCTCCCTCGTGTTCTCCCCCTGCTGCTGCTTAATTCTTTGGAAAATTTTATTACCCTTTTTTTTTAGTTATTATTTCGATTAAAGAGAAACGACATCGACAGCGAGCATACACGAGTCGTATGTGTGCACTCCTCGCGAACGATCGCCGTAATTATTTATTAATTATTATTTTTTTTATTATTGTTATCGCGATGTAGCACGCGCTTATATCGTAACACGACGACGACGACACAGGCGACACAACGACGACGACTTGCCAGCACGATGTACGAGCACAAACTGACACTAACTTCACACACAGGCTGTATAGTCAGCAGCAGCAGCGGGGGGACAGGAAAGAGATAGTTGTATTATTTGCCGAGTGTTTGTATGTGTGTGTGTGTGTCCCACCACTACCCACTACCAACACACACAAACACACAAGAGCACACACGAGCAGTGATAGTATACAATTCCGTCGCGTTCTCGTTCTCCGCTTCGCGCAGTTCCCGCCTCCCTCTCTCTTTTGAACTCGCTCGATGCCGCGTCATGGTGGATCGTCGCGCTGCTTCTATATATATACATGTACACGAAATGACACAGCGCAGTGTGTATACTACGGTTGCGACTCGACTCAACTCCGCCTCCCGCCTGCACCGAGACGGTATAGAAGTAAACACCGGGCGCGGACCAATCGATGCGCAGCCAGACGAGCGTCCAATGGCACGTATAGTAGCGCGCGGTATATATAACCGGTGCCACTCCTACGCGCACTCACACACACACATACATTTGTATACCACCTACTACTACTGGTACAACTGCTATATATATATAGGAGTGCGGTATTGATCCCGCAATGAACTCGCTGCTGAAGCTTCTATCTTTTTCCATACCACAGAGAGAGAGCTTATAGCGAGCGAAATAGAGAGAGCTGCTGCTGCTGATGCTGCTTGCGAGTATCAAGAAGTTAAGCTCGGGCGCGATTTTATCAAGTTTCTCTCAAATTGGTGTGTACAGCAGCAGCAGCCAACCCCCGCGCTCGCCGTGTACATTTAAAGTTGTGGAAGTTGGCGCAAGGGCGCACATTATAATGAGTCTTAATTAACAGTTCGTTCTCCGGTGGTGGTGGTGGTAGTGGCCCGCGCTCAATTTCCTCCTGTTCGAGACTACTAACTGCAGCTTTAAGCTATTAACAAACTTTTCCGCGCTCGATCTGAAGTTTCTTACCTTCTCTATGAGCTTTTTTCAACCCCTTGTATATTCTCGAGGAGCTCTCATTTTCTCTTCCTTTTTCCTTCCCTCGATTTTCCTCGAGCAGCAGCAACGACGTCGTCGCTTTTAATGTTTCGCCGCGCGGACGGAATCGCAAATGAGCAGCAGCCGCTGCAACAGTCGCAGCGGATGCCAGGCGCGCGACGAATAAGTAAACGAGCTCTCCGTTGCAGCAGCGGCTCTAAGCCGAGCGCGCACGGCTGATTTCGCTCATCGAACGCGGCGGTTCGCGCTCGTGGCGTCTTACTTCGCATCCGGCATTTACTTATCTGCTCTCTCTCATCATTTGTTTATTTTAGCCTCGTGTATATATACGTCGCTCGTTAAAGCGCCCAAGAGAGGGAGGATTTCGCGCGCGACGGCTCAATGAGGAATGGGCGAAATTTTTGTACTTACCTCCTATACATGTACACACGTTACGGCGGTAGCAGCAGCAGCGATCGTGCCGACTTCAAAGTCCCTCTCTTGTGTATATAATACGTGAGAAACGGACGGGAAAAACAAGGCATTTCGCTCGGCGCAGAGAGTCTCTCGGCCGAGGCATTTATTCGAGTCGTACTTTAAACTTCGAGGGTTCATCTTGGTTTTTTTTTTCTTCTTCTCTTTTTTTTTGGTCTTTTTGTACTCGCAAGTACTGCGCTGATTAAATTATCCGTCGAGGGCATCTGCAAAAAAAAAAAAAAAAAATAAATACAGATATCGCTGTACAATCATTTTCCCATGGAGAAATTAATTGAGAATTACGAATTGAACAAATGTATAATACGATGCATTTGTATAGAAAGCTCGAATGTATATATGGTGCACCGTTACGAGGTTGCCGTGTTTGCGCGCGCGCTATAATTAAACCGACGATCGACTCGAGGCACGCGTATAGAAACAGAGAGAAGCATCTTGCGGAATGAAAAAAAGGGGGGGCGAGGGGCAGAAGAAGAAGAAGAAAAAAAACAACAATCGCAACGCAGCGCAGATAGCTCGCTCGAGGAAAAATGGATGCCAATTGCGGTCCCGGTGTTACAAGAGTCGAAGGAGAAAAAAAAAAAACAAAACGACGAAAAAAAAATCTAAACTCGAGACTCTCCGGTGCGCTGAAAGTAGATCGATATACCTACGCGTGCTGAAACGAGACGGAGCAGTGGCGTACTCGGGCGTATACCGGGTGTGCTGCGCGACGACGACATTGCGGCTGCATAGTTGCGCGACTGCGTTATGTATCGGTGTGAAATTTTTTAGATTCGATTGCGTGCGTATATATACGTATACCGCGCGCGAGAGGTTGATCATAAGGAATGAGAACGATTTTTGTGACGCGATAATTTGATCATCGATGCTATGTAACGACGTCGAACGTAACATTTTTTCACCCTCTTTTTTTTGCGGGACGTTATAAGGTACGGTAACTGTTTTAGAGAGACGAAAGTCTGGTTGAAATCGCGACAGTGAACAAAGGCGTAATGATAATTGCAAATAATATAACATTATGTTATCACAATGTTTTATTGAAATGTAAGAAAAACATCTATTTAAGTATCTGTATATATTTACTATGTTGTCAAGAAAAAAAAATTGTGCTTTTCATTATTCCATTGCAAGATACATGCTATTTTCTAATAAACTATTTCAAGCATATGACTGCAATGAGTTCGAGAAATTTGTACAAACAAAAAATTATTCATAAATATTGGATTATCATCCAAGGTAAAATTGGATCATCAAACTTCGAGAATTGTCCAGAAGATAGTTTCTAAAATTTTATAGACTCTTGTCGGTGTCCAATTGAATTGAATAGAAATCCACAAGATCTTAATGTTCTTCGGGGACTGTCATTTTGTGCTATAAAAAACTTGATTCACGTCCAAATTTCTGCTCGAATTTTTCGAAAACAAAATCTTTCCGTCCTTCGTGGATTGTATTTTGGTGTCTTCTCAAATTGCTTGGATCCCCAAATTTCTTCTCGCATTTGTTACATGCAAAATCTTTGCGACCTTCATGGACTATCTTTAGGTGAGAGACCAAATGAGATTTTTGTCCATATGTTCTCTCGCACTTATCGCATTCGTAGTCTCTGTTACCTTCGTGAACTGTCCTTTGGTGATTCAACAAATGCGTTTTGTGCCCAAACTTCTTTTCGCAATTGTTGCACGCAAAATCTTTGCAACCTTCGTGGACTGTTCTGTGGTGAATGAGCAAATGACATTTATATCCAAATTTTTTCTCGCATTTGTTGCATGAGTGATCTTTGCGACCGTCGTGCACCGTCTTTTGGTGGCTGAGCAAATGCGATTTTTGTCCAAATTTTTTTGCGCATTCGTCACACGCAAAATCTTTGCGACCTTCGTGAACTACCATTTGGTGCCTCAACAAATCTGATTTATTTCCAAATGCCTTCTCACATTTCCCGCATGCGAAATCTTTGCGACTTTCGTGGACTATTTTTTTGTGTCTGAATAAAGTTCTCTCCTCGCCGAATTTCTTCTCACAAAAATCACATGCGTAATCTTTGCGACCTTCGTGCACTGTCCTTTGGTGCTTGAACAAATCTGCTTTATATCCAAATTTTTTTTTGCAGTTAATGCATGCAAAATCTTTTCTACCTTCGTGTACTATCTTTTGGTGGTTAGACAAATGCTCTTTACGTCCGAAATTCTTCCCGCAATCATCACATGAGAAATCTTTACAACCATCATGGACTGTTTTTTGGTGTTTGAGCAAATGATCTTTACGTCCAAATGTATTCTTACACTTGTCGCATACAAAATCTTTGAGACCTTCGTGTATTGTCCTTTGGTGGAAAAGTAAACTAGATTTATGTCCGAATTTTTTTTCGCACTTGTCGCAAGGGTAATCTTTTCGACCCTCGTGTACTGTATTTTGGTGTCTTCTCAAATTACTTTTATTCCCAAACTTTATCTCGCATTTATTGCATGCGAAATCTTTACGACCTTCATGGGCTGTAGTTATGTGCAAGTGTAAATACCGTTCATTTGAAAATTTCTTCCCGCAATTGTCACATGAGTAATCTTTGTCGACTTTCGAGAGGGGATCTTTTCGACCCTCGTGTACTGCCTTTATGTGCAATAGCAACCTGTGTTTGGTATCAAATCTCTTGGCGCACACTTCACATAAGTAATTATTGAAAACTTCGTGGAATATTTTTTTATGCTTGAGTAAAGTTGATTTATTTTCAAATTTCCTCTCGCACTTATTGCATGAGAAATCTTTACGATCTTTGTGCGTTAATTTTTGATGCGTAAACAAACTCGATTTTTTCACAAACTTCTTAGTACACTGGTCGCACGCAAAATCTATACGACTTTTGTGTACTGATATTTGGTGTCTACTCAAATGACTTCGGAACTCGAATTTCTTCTCGCATTGGTCACACGAGTAATTTTTTCCTTCATTTTGAATTGTGTCTTGGTGTGTAATTATACTTGATTCTAGTGCAAATGTCTCTTTAGTACAAACATATTTTTTGTCGTCTTTTTTTCATTTTACTTTCTGAATTAAATTGGAAGATAGATCCTATTATTTAGTGCCACATAAATGAGTAAAATTTATTTTCTGCTATTATGGCTTGTCTCGTCGTGAAAGACAACACTCAAACTCATTTATTTTTACTACAAACACGATCAATGTATGTGAAGAACGACATCAAAATCGTTTAAGATTATTTTGCTTACCATTAAGTTACCAATTTGTCTGTTTACACATTGACTTTACAATATGTGAACCAATTTAAAATTCTACTTTGATGACGATTTCTTTGAGGAATTTTTATGGCCATCTACATAAACATCAAAAAGCTTTTTGCAATATCGGGTAAGTTTATAAAATACATATACAATGTTGATCGTGTAATTTTTTTCCTTCCTTTTCAGAATATAAGGCATATGGTGAACGTTTTAGGGAGAAGAAATCCGCAGTCGTCTGGATAAAAAATAAAGCTTTAATCACAACAGTGAGCAAAGGCGTAATGATAGTGGCAAGTAAAACACAATTATATAGGCC